CTGCTATGTTTACTACTGTTTACAATACTGAATGTTTTCTACAAAGTTATATATAAAAAATTAATATATAATAATAATTAATAACATTAATATTAATATAAATCAAAATTATTTTAATGATACTCATATATCAACTTTCTAATACTTGTAGTGCTTCACAACTATGTATTTTTGTGTTTTGGTTTTTTCCCTTTGTTAAATATATCACTGTTGCAGGTTATGTGTTCACAGATAGTGAGTAGGATATCTTACAAGTAAGTTTAAAAAGTCATACATGACTACTTTGATCCCTTTCAAGTCGTACTGAACCAAAAAGTGGCAGGCTTGATAAAAGACGCCACATCAGGGCCGTTTATTTATTATAAAAAATAATACAATGGTTATATGATACGAAGTGTTGCTACACAATACAAATACAAAAGTTTATATAACACAAATCATTGTTACACACATAGGTAATGACAGGAGAGAAATTTAACACCCTTGACCCCTTCATTTTCATTTGTGGTACCACCTTTTTCCAGTTCACCTTATGTTGGCCAGTGGAGATTATGTGGAGGAGGATATCTGCTTGGCACGATATAAAATGTCATAATCCACGTGTGGTAGGGACTTTTTTATCCTCTGGTTTTGTTCTGGCTACCCGTGAAATATACGAGATCAAGGTGGCATACATGAGAGGACCAAAGATCAGGGAAAAGGTCAACGAGACAGCAATCCATTTCCATCCAACCAAGGACACTCTAATGTCGAGATAGAACATACTCAAGAAAAAAAAGATTGATGAGAGATTTGCCCGAACGTATTAGTTTTCTTTCTTAATGTTTATACGTGATAGAAAAAGTGTCATGAGTAGGTCAATTTTTATTTGTGTTACATGCCTTTCGATGTTTGTCACATGCCATGAGCCCCCTGAAAGGAGAAGAGGAAAGAGATGAAAATGTGAAAACATGTGAGATATTCTATTGTTATTAGCTGTGCATTGAAAATTGTCAATCACATGATAGTTCATGTTCTATGTATATATCGTGATTTGTCAATGGGAAAGGATTAAAAGCCCAGTATATTTGTCAACATTTACTAATAAATACTAGTACATATAAAATTAACACATCCAAACCTTTAAATCAGAAATTTAAAGGTTTTGGATATGTTAATATTTGTCAAGCCAACTTGTCCGTTTTTTTTTCTCTAGTTCTGCAAACCTCATTTTACTGGGCATTCTACACACTAAAAAGTTTCTAACACCCCAGAGTTTTAGATTAAATAAATGCTTCAAAGAAAACTCTGCATCAAACGCTTTCTAGCAGGAAAATGGTATAGTTAATTATGAAATTAAGCTTTACCAACTCTATATTAATCATGCAAGTGACCTGTTTCCTAATGTGAAATTGGCCCAACTATGAGACTGAGGAGTGTGTATAGGTTGGATCATTGTTGATTTTGGTGACTTATGACAGTAAAATGTTCTTTATCATGTAAAGGTTTAACAGTAAAATGTTCATATTCATGTAGAAAAAGTAAATAAAAAACAAAAAAATGAAAAAGAAAATGAAGTTGGTTAGAAAGAAAATGTGAAGGGAGTCATGTTGTATCAAACGGTCTTTAAACCAAAAGAAATATGAAAAAATTGTTGGATTGAAATTATGAAATTCAAAAATAACTAAAGGTAAATAGTTCATAAAAAACTTAAACCTTTATAAATCCAACAATGAATTTAACAAAAATTAAAAATGTTTGACCAAATTCACTGATCTTCCTCAGTTACAGAACATAATGAAAGAATAAAAGAACATAAATACAAAATTTAAAAGAATAAGTATAAATTCAAAAGAACAAGCATTTGAATTTAAGGATGTTACGTTAAAAGTAATAAAATACATGAATAAATAAATAAATAAATACAATAAATAAATAAGTACATGTAAAATTAATAAAATAAAAATCTATAAATAATTATTTGTTAATAAACGACTAGAAAATTAAATTTTGAAAATAGACCACCATGCAATAGACATTGTCCTCATCCCTATGGTTGATGGCATTTGGATATTTTCTGTTCTGAGCCTGATAATTTCTAATTTTTCTATATAACCTATAGTGTATAGTAGATGTGAGTCTGATGACTTTTGTTTGCTGCCAGTTTACTTGTATGTCCTGCTTCTGTGTATAAACCGCCAGTGCCATGTGGTTGTGATTTTTCTCAATTGCATTCTTATGTTCCCTGAGTTATTGTTGTAAATTATGTCCAGTAGTACCCACGTAGACCAGTTTTGATTCAAAATGTTGGTTATCTATCAAGATGGAATAGATCCCATGGCAGAATTGCAGTTATATAGTTGTGAGGATCCGAATCCTGACTTTCCGTATGTTTACATCATTAATTTGTAATTTCACATTGTAACCATAACCTCGATACATAACTATCAACTTTCACACCTGGGAGCAAAATATCTGTTAAGTTCTCAGGCCAGACAATGATGCTTTCTCATCACCTCTCAATCTAATATCTTGATTTCATTGGTTCAACAACAAAAAAATCAAGAAACTAAGGCAGTTGTCGCCCGTACTACGAAAGAGTCAGTTGTCACTTGTACCTTATCCTAAGTGCCTCAATATTCGGATATCTGTGAATATATCATTTTATTTTAAGTTCCTATATCCTACTAAAATAGCATCGGAAAGCATCGTCCAACACCTTTGCGGATACGTTCCATCAGGCTTACAGATATTTCATCTACAGGATACCCAAACTAACATCCCAAACTTCCTCTCTTTCACCCAGAGTGTTCCAGATCAAGACCAAATCCTCAATAAGGTATTTATCGTTACGGGTTTTTGCTGTAAACTCTCTAGAGAAACACGGATCTTGAGTTACCTCAGTCTAATATCTACATAACATCTATCATTTCCAATATATCTAAATCTATCATATTCCACTCGGTCTATGTGTCCTGTATTATCTATTGCTACCAATTAAATGGTTGTTACGTTAACTTGTCTCTGCGTAAGATGCTTCCAGTGTGTTGTGTCTCCCTCCATCCCGAACCCGACTGCTCGCATGACCTAGTTAGCACGGCTCCTGTGTCAACTGAGACGCGGTGGTGTCAGTCCTGACGAGGAATCTAGAGGTGCTGACCCTTTGGTCACATAGTTTTTTTTTTATCATTCCTTAGGATTTTGAAGATTGTTGGGTTGCGTTGATATACCAAGGTAATATTATTAGCATCAGATACTTTCCTATGTATCTTTCTTAAAGCTGGATATAATTTAATACAATTTTTCATTACTGATTCACTGTTGTATGCTCAGATTTTGATGCTGGAAAGGTTGCAATCAAATGTTTTTTATGGATTGAAATTGTAAGCAGATTCTAAGATTATAGTTAAACAATAGTGTGTTTAGATAGCAAGAGAGAAAAATGAAAAAAATATATTCCTAGAACAGGAGGAGAGCAATCTTGTGGATCTCTGGTGACAATCAAAAACCATTCAAAAGAAAGGGAACTGATAGGTTGCTGAATAGGTTTACAAGATGATCCCTGAGGAAAAGAAGGGGTAAGGAAGAAAAAAGTCCAGAATGGAAAACAGAATAGAGAAGTGCTCAAAAGTGTGCTTGTGTCTTTCCATTTTTATCTGAGGTACATGTCTAATTTCCATCATGTTTTGCCCTCCTCCATGTGGTACTCATCCAGGTCTACTCTCTCCAAACCTATCATTGTCTGGTTCACTTGTCTGGTTCACTTTCATCATCCTTGTAAATGTGATATTTATCAACTTTCCCTTTCTCTCTCTTTTTCTCCAAGGAAAACTATGTAGCCAAGGAACTTGCATGTTATGTGCCAGAGTGGACACAATGTAATATATGTATAGAAACTTATATAAATAAACTTGATTTAGTAGAGAAATTCAAAGAGTAGTCTCTTCTCATCTGCTCATCTAATACATATACACTTGCCCACAGAAAAAAGTTAACTCCTGAAATGTGTGTTCAGAATTTGTTAGTTCTCTAGAAAATAAAAAAAGATTAGTGTCAGACATCTAGTGTTTTCTAACATAATCAATCCAATTACAAAAAATTAAATGGGAAGCTACCAACAACCCACACTAATAGTAGTACAATCTGTATATTATACTAATTACCAAAAATAGATCCCTTGCATTTATCAATTATAGCTGTTTTCATAAAACAATTAAAATATTTATATTTTGTATCTATTAGAACATAATATAAAAAGGATCAGACTTAAAAGTGTTTAAAAAATTTTGAAATCCATTGTATAACAAATAGCTTATGTAAAAAATTTCTTGTAAAAATACTGTATAGGATGATCTCGCATACAGAATGAGGTGTAACTTTAAAGATCAAAATAAAGAAAATTAGATTTATTAATGCAATTCTAATTTTATTTCATTTAATCACAAGTAAAATATCAAATGCACATAAATGCACACATTGTCCTGCAAAAATTATTGGCATTTTAAACTTTAAGGAAAATCTTGTGAAATTGACAACATAATTTGTTCACGTAAAGCTAGACAATCAAGAACCTTTTTTGCCAACTCTTAAGTCTATTACATTTGAGTTCTCCAAATTATGATTTCCGAATAATCATCTGTTTTCATGTGGGAATGAATTAAAACTTATATCAGACTCCTGTGTGATTTTGGAATTCAATTTAAAAGCTTTGCTTTTCCTATTGCTATTCATCTTTACTCCTGACAATACACAATAACAATTGAAACAACCCAGATAAAACACTTTTGTTTTATAACACCAAATGGTGAGCATCTGATAAAAAAGGCAAATATACGGTTTGCAAAAATTATTGCAAAAATGCAAAGAATCCTTCACTCACGCGTACAGGACGACCTAGGTTTTTGAAACAATGAAAAATGAATAAAACCTCATCTTATATGCAAGTAAATATAGTATATAAAATGCTTAATGATATAAACAATTACTGAAATTTATTTTCACTACTTTAAAAATAAATTTACCTGCACTGTGTCCAAATCCATTTATGTTCAGTTTAGGAATGTTATCAGCCAATAATTCTATTAATATTGTTATGGCTTGAGTGTCATAAAATTCTCCATCTGAAACGGTAAGAATAAAGCTGTCTTCCTTATTCTTGACATTTCCATCGTTAATATATATTATCAGTTCATTCATTATATCCTGTCATAAAATGTTGAAATTAAGTTTATTTTAAATTAAATACATGCAATAAAAAGTAAATAAAACTACCATGATTTCATGCAGATAACCTGCAGATTATCTGTGTTTGAAAGATAATCTGAATGAGAATGCTGATTATGCAATGGGGTAAGTTATGTACTGATTTTAAATTACAATCCAAATTAAAACAAATATATTAATGTTTCATTGGCAGGCAATATAATTCTAAAAATAGTTGGTGATGTGTTACAAAATTAAAATATTAGAACAAGTGAAACTCATGAAGAAAACCTGTTAAAACATTACAATTTTTTCAACACAATTATATAGAAAATAAGTTTATTATTGATATTAAAATTATTTCCAAGTTTACTTTGCTATTATTACTGGATGAAGGAAATTTGCAATAAAATAAAAACAAATTATTTTTTATACTTAATTTACATAATAGGGACACTTCATAAACACCTGTGATCAAATTATAGTGATGGTCAGTGAGTACAGGAGTGAATAGATTTCTGCATTAGAGTTTAATAAATAAAGCAAAACAATAATTTCATCTTTAATAATACAGTAGAGCGTCATTCATCCGAATCAATTGGGGACTGGCATTGTTCAGATAACTTATTTTTCAGATATCCGGTTATATACGAAAAAATATATTAACCTATCCCATCCTGAAATTTTTCTCTGTTGCGTGTCGCTTTGCGTTGAATTTTCGTCGATGTTAAGCCTAACGTAAACTTTTTAAAATAATAATCGTGGCTATTGCATCGCTAAAAATTAATTCTTTATTTTGTACAAACAAAATAAATATATTGAAAAATATAAAAACAATAAAAAAATTATACTTCAGAAGTTAATTTAGTATCAAAAATGTAAAATATTTGAGTAGCCCAAGATATAGCCAAAGATTGCAGCGCCACAGCACTAGCGAAAATTTAAATTTGCCAACTGGAATTCTTTTGGATAACCGGCTTTCAGATAAATGACGCTCTACTGTAATTAACAAAATTAAAAATAAATAGAAATTTAAATTAAATGATTAAATTTAATTCAAAAATTAAATGCTGATTAAAAAAACTATAAATGATTTTATATTAATTATTCCTAGTTAGCTAAACTATAAATTGATTCATATGAAAATTAATATGATTATTACAGAATATTTGGGCTTGATTGTTTGGGTATATCTACAATTATTTGTTGTTAGAAATAAAATGGAAAGAGCAATATTTTAATGCTTGAGATGAGAATGTTCAAACTGAAATTTATCTTGCTAAATAAAATAAAATAGGGTATATGATGGAGAGGGTAATATTAAATTTTTTTTTCATTCTTGAAATTTTCTGTCTAGTATAAGCTGTTGCAGGATATACACTGCCACAGGTTATTCACATGAAATTGTGGTATTTTACGAAAAAATTAATTGAAATTTTGTATGTGAATCACACATTTTTAAGTTTGCATTTCACATTACAATAAAAAGTTATTAAAAAAATATATAATTGGAATCCTGAAATGGTTGTTTAAAAAGTAAAACTTTAAATGTCTTAGATTAATGACTTTCAATGAGGTGTAGTAGATTCTCATAAGATTGTTTTGGAAATCTACATGAAAAGTTGAGGATTGCTGGAATAATTGTAAAGATGTTACCAGCATTTAGCCCTCTTTTTTTGTTCTCAAACTTAAGATATCAATTTAAAGGAAAGGAACTCATTTTGACAGTAGTGAAAACAATAAACAGAATGTGACTCTGATTTTAAAAAGTTTAACAGTCAAATGATACAGAAAGACTTTTAGTAGACTTTTAGTAATTAAATTTAATAATTATCAAATGACCAAACAAGTTTATGCAGTTTTTCAATGTTATCATTCTAATAAAAATTATGTGGCAAAGTTGCAGTTATGTGCATGAATAAATACAAAACTAACAGCATGTCTCATGCTGGAAATAGATGATATCAATAAAGCATGAAGGTCAGTTCATGAAACTGTGAAGAGTGTGTGGAATCTGCGAATATCTGAGGGATGATATCCGCAGGGGTGAATGAAAAATGATTGCCACAAAAAGGAGGAGACCAGTACGATATATTATTTAACAAACTTTATGCACCAAATATATATATTAATAATTGAAACACAATATGATAGGTCGGCTTAAGCCTGGCACATGGCAGCTTACACAAAGCACAAAGGGTCTACACAAGACAATCGAAGGACACACCTTCAATGTTGCACGCCAGGAACCAGAAAGGATGGTTTCCGGTTCCCCACTATATATAACTCCTCCACCACTCTCACCGTGCTGCCACACAAAAACCGCCCAAAACACAAATAAAACCACGCGTACAGCAATCGCAACAATCGTTTACATTAATTACATTGACAAAAAAAATATATATATATATATACACAATAAAGATTATAGGTAAAAGAAAACAAATTTTTTTTTTTTTTTTTTTTACAGCAGGGACCGACAATATACACGCGGATGACACAAGTGAAGAGAAGATAGCTATTCCAACTGCAGTTATTTGATGGTATTTACTCTATGAGTTTAAACTGAGCACTAACATAATGCAAGCAGCCCACAACACATGTAGAGCATTTGGACAGACCACAGTGAGCAAAATGGACAACCCAAAAACAGTAGAGATGTAAGGAACCAAGTCCGAGCATTATTTTTATTTACTTTTATTTTTGCTTTTAATTATACTTTTGTTTGGGGCTTATGTTTTGTTAGGACAAAGGTTTCCTCACCATTCACCTTAGAAACTTAAAAATAAAAGAGAAACCAACTCACCAACGAGAGAAAAGTGCTGTAGAAAAAAAACTCGTGCACACTTGCACTCCCGAGCAGAAAAAAGTAAGTCCGCACTGAGAAAAGGGGGGAGACCCCACCAGCACAACTTAGGAACTTGCTAAACCTTAAAAGAATAAAACATCCCGAAAATTGTCAAAAAGAATAATGTAAAAGGTTAGCGAGTATTGTCAGAAAATAGGCTGCCAGACAAATAGAAAAAGTTTATTATTAGCAAATAAGTATGTAAATGAGAGGAGTGATCGCATTCAGAATTGTGACGTCACCTCACAGTATAAAGACCGAACCTCAAGTGAAGATGGAAGAGGTGAGCTTCTGTTAGCAACGAGCATGGTGAGCTTCGTAGCAGTAACTGAGAGGTGTCCTATAGGGTAAAATAGTCCCAAGGCAATTTTGAAGTTAGTCGATTGGTGCATCAACGAATAGAGAGTCTTGAGAGCTGAGGAAATAGGTTCCTAGTATAATGAGGTGACGATTAGGATCTTTAATTCATAAGAATTATTGTACATAAATTAAGTCTTTGATTTTTGTCAAATTCCAAAGGGGAATAGAATTAAGTTAGAAAATAGATTGATTTGAATTTTGTCAGGTTGATTCTTATTGATTTTCGTTGAATAAATTATTTGATTTTTTACTAAATTTTGTATATAGTTATTATTAGAATTTTATTAAATATTGGATTGTTATTGACTAACTTTGTCATTATTTAATTCGGTGCATGCTTAAAGTCCAGGCCTGGCACACTAACACGAATCCACGTAAAGTACCCGTTAGGGAATGGCTATTTCCAGCACACAGTCGTGTCGATAATTGTTGGAAAAGTCGGAAAAATAATATAGTACTTTACAGAGAAAATTTAGGATGATAATGCTCTTGAAGATGCACTTCATGAGGGAAGACTAAGCATCATTGATGAGGATAAACTGAAGGCAACCATTGAGTTGGACTCAAGACAGGTGTGCCAGGAACTTGCAAAAAGGTTCATAGTGAATGAAGAAACATTCATTTGCATTTGCATTGCTTAGGAAGCTGAGCAAATGGGTTCCACATGATGTGATGGGCAATAGTAAGCTCCAGAAATTTATGATCTATTCATTGCTACTTTCATGACACATTAATGATCCAATTTTGGACCAATTGTTGATGTGTGATGAAAAATTGGTTATGTATAACCCACTTTTTATCACACATATGCATTACATGTGTGACAGTATGCCATAATTTTGTATATATGCGCTAGTTGTAAGCATAATATTAATTATTTGATCTTGTGTTCTTTGTTTCTCTATTTCTCGATCTTTCAATTCTTCACTTCCTGATCAGGTGAAAGCAACACTGTTCCGAGAACGAGATGAGAAGACAATATAGAGCGAGCACCCTGAGGCATGTGGGGTGAGGAGATAATGATCATTCTTGGCAAGGACTCAAGAGCGAGCAGACAGCATGTGAAGGGATCCAAATTGGCGTTACAAGAAATGAAAATACGATGAAGTGTCTATATGATTGAAGGAGGGACTCAGCGTATTAAGATCAAGAAATAACATATCTATTGATTATTCTGGATTACTGATCGAAATTGAAGAACGATACAGCAATGGACTGGAACGCACTTCTCCCCACCGGAAGGCATCAAAGAAATACGATATCTCGGGTACCCCCTATTCTTTCCTCTCTATACATCTAAATATCCATATTATTCTATCCTCTTTCTTTTTTCTTATAGTTTGTAAGTTAGTTTTAAGTCTTAGTTATAGATTTCAGTAAGTATCCCATTGTAATCTATTGTTGCGAAACGTGTCTTGTGTCTTTGTTTTTTCATTATACTCATGTGAGGTCCAGAGTTGAAATCCGAAACAAATACTGTACTACCACACGAAAAGGCAAAAGGTCGGGTTTATTGGTTTTTTTGTCTGTAAATAAATTTTATATTTTGCTTTCAATTTGTATGTTCGTCCTTTAGGAGTCCATGCATACTTGCATGTCTTAACACATATAACATTATTAAACAATTCTATCATTGGTTATTGTTGGTGAATTTTCTACCACATATCCAACATCCATCAACAGAAAAGCTTTGTTGTGTATCTGGTGAACTACAGCTGGAATCATTCATTATGAACTTATGCAATATGCTTCTTGTCTAGTCTTATGTTCAAATATACAAGTGCTAAGATGG